GAACCTCGATATCTCAGGAACCATAAAAGCTAGGAAATGCGATAAAGTATGCAGATTTCAGAGATTCCAGGATTCCACAAGCCCAAGTTTGTTTACTGATTACGCCACGCCCACAAGCCGCCCAAAACTGTCACGCCCATTATTATTATTAGAATTGCGAATTTAATCGGAATATTTTGTCCACGCTTTTCTGACGCCACAAACCGTCCGAAACAGTCACGCCCACACTTTTAAAATTTTTTGTATGTATTTTCATTTAGTTATTTTTCTATCGATTTGTCAACAACAAATTGTGAAGATTCTTGTTCGCGATTCCACTAGCTAAGTAACGGGTATCTGATAGTCGAGAAACTCTACTGTAGTTCTCTCTTGTTTTCAATTAATTTCCCAATTGTTTCCACGGCTCGTAATGGCCTAATCCGGCTCGTTCCGAAACTTAAAAAATTCTTTTGACAATTCCTCTGAAACAAAATTGGTTTGCCTACGGCTCAGCTTCTGAGTGATTGATTTTTCTAGCTTCTATAGATTCAGAGATCAAACGGACTTGACCTGATCGTCTGGACAAGGTTTTCTGACTAAGAACGTTCTATAGATGCATACTTTAAACGAATCTTGTATACCTCTTACTCTTCATGTAACGGGTACTCACTTTCATTCTACGAAATGCATTAGCCTTTTCAATTAGAACACCTTGATGATCACAATAAAAATCTTTTCCATTGCTGACAGCCAGCATGATTCTAGGAGAAGTTCAAGTTGATGCTCAATTAAGAAACTTTTATCGACTCATCGCTTAAGCGCTTCCAAACTACTCCAATCATTGGCAAAGTTCGGGCAAATTTGTAACTGGAAAAGAAAAATTAATTGAAAAACTTTCCAGTGGCCCAATGCAATTAGACGTATTTAGCAACGGATAGAGAGTCACGTCGCTAGCATGAGCACTTTGGTAAATTAAGGGACGGAAGACACATGGATCAATTATAATTTCCCTAACGGGTGACCAAGAGCACGCCCTTTTTTGGGCTGAAACGCAATTAGTCAAGATTTGATAACAGACTATGGATGATTACTGTTCTCGGCAAAAAGGTCAAAATGCTTGGCAACAAAACCGGGAACTGGGACGACAGGAACTTTGACAAGCCGCGTCCAGTGAAAGTGTGAGAAAGTAATTAAAAAAATTGTTAAGGAGAATCAAAAAGGGACTCAGTGTTGTTTAGTCAACTACACTTGCCTGAACTGCCTTCGAAGGCAGGAACATTAATGAAATTGCACTCCCACGCCAGAAAATTCTGTGACTGCCGGAAAAGGTTTTCCCTGGCCTTCGGTGAACCTACAGCTATTCACCCACTAACTTATTAATGGACGAGTGCTAACAACTGTTGCCAATCGAGCCAAAACTATTAAAGCCAGTTGCATGGTCAACACCACAAAGTGCCACCCCAATAAGTAGTAAATAACAGTCTAGCTGGATTCTATTTAAAAAATTGCTATTTTAGTTGAAGGACGTACACTAAGTCGACTGACATAACCCACAATACAAGGTATTTAAAAGCTGTTTGAGACTTTAAATTCGTTTGCTAGCAGCTTTTGCATAAATGGTTTTAATTACTTCTCCTAGGGAAAGACATCACGAAACTGAATACAATTAAGAACACTTTTAAAATGAAAGGAAAATTCACTTTGAACTCAACTTCCAGATGTGTTATAATTTATTTTTTAACTTGCAAATATGAATTTCCTTTAATGCAGTTAGGAGAAATGCGTAGCTCTGAGTTTAGTAAAATATATGAATAAGCTAAGTCGTTTAAGATATTCCTTTATTTCTTCTTTATTTCTTTTAGTATTAAAATATTCTTAAATTTGTTCCGGTATACAGGAAAGATATTTAGCATAATTTAGTACCTGGTTTATTTGGCTAACGTGCAAAAGCGGGCTATATGCAAAAATGCCATAATTTGATGTAAGAACTGTTACCCACCGACATGTGGCCATTCGAATATATATATGAGCCTTTCATCGGGCAATAAAATGGAGCCACGAGAGCGAACCAAGTCTGAGAATACATAAATTAAGGCACAGCCGGTAATAACACTAAAAGCAAGCCGACAATTTTAATGAGCTGCCCGACGGGATATTGCCGGGAAACGTTAATAGAACCGCTGATGCGACTGCGGGCTGGAAGACAGCGATTTATATGCCGCACGCTCCACTCGAGCGAGTGAACACGGAAGCTTGCTCGTCCCGGAGGGCAGCAATCGATTCCCGGCCAGGCATACGTTTTAATTAAGCGTGTACTCGGTTTTCGTTTTCACAGTTCACCGGGAGAAGGCGGGCGGCCAGAGAAACGGGCTTTCCACTAGTGACGATGTACTAACGTGACCACCATGAGCATTTTTCCGAGGTGGGCAGCCATGCTGCTGCTCCTGGGCCTGGCTCACCAGCTGGACCCCTCGCTCGCCGCGTCCTCATCCTCGTTCGCATCCGGAAACCCCTGGCAGCGTTCCCTCTTTGGCCGGGACTCGCGCAACCTGATGCACCGCAGAGCCCCGTTTTCCGGTGCCGCTGATTTGCGCCTCGACGAATACCTGGTTCCCTATGGCGCCGCCGAGCAGGAGCAGCACCAGCCGCATCCTCCGCCGCAGCAGGTGAGTGCGGGAGTGGTGGGTGTGATTGCACGTAATTGCAGGGCGGAGCTGCAGAGTAAGTAACCACTGAAGAAGATTGATAGGCAAAGTGTGCAGCCAGGAAATTGATTCGTTTATCTGTCGACATTTTAAAAGGAAGGTTCCAAATTATTAGCTAAATTCAATTGAAAATTGCATTTCAGCAAAGATAGTGTGTGTGTGTAAGGAAAGTAATTCAAGTTATATTTATTAGCTTGAAATATTCAAATATTTTTTTTTAACTCTTACTCTTGTACTTTCTTGTACTGATTCAAAAGTAATCTTCTAAGCAAACGAAATACTCAATATTCAAATTTGTGCTGTCGGAAAATGCCAAGTTTTGTATAAGTGTTACGGAATTTGCGTGTAAAATATCCACCAAAAAAAGATGCCTGCCCAAAGCAGGTAAACGCAACCCCTAAGTTCAATAAATGCCAACACTCAAACTCATTTTAAAATGCGAACGCTGTGTTGGCCTGCCACAAATACCCGAAGGCGTTTGGCGCAGTGTTTTGCAGCAATTTGAAATTGGAAGCTGTATGCTTGCATGGTTTTATTGGCCTCCTGGATCACTGGTTTCAATCAACGGAAAATTCAGAGTTCACGTTGAAACTCAAATTAATTACCGCGCGACGAGTTGCAGCGTTATTGATGACCAACTGCTGCGCCGCAGTAACGGGAAACATAGCGCATACGCACCGTACGCCCAACAAATGCCGCACTAATTGCCACCGAATTCCACCTTCCCCGCAGATGCGCCAAGAGACAGAAGTTTACGGAATTGTGGAGCCGCTGATTGAGGACACGCCCTGTGCCGACCGACCCTGCCTGCTCAACAACGATTGCTGTCCTTCCGGAGTGTGCGTCAGCACATACGGCGGTAAGTTGGCCTAATTGCACTTGGTCCTCTGGGGTCCAACCCACGCACTTACACTTGGCTTAGTCAATGGTGTAGCGAAGAAATTGAAATTGGAAGAAAACCTAATTTACGCGTATTAAACATTTATAAGAAAGTTGGCGCCAGGCAAAGGTTGCCATTCACATCGACTTGGCTGGGGATCCTGATCATAACCATATGTATATACTCTGTTGCACTCTTTTAATAGATGGATAATATTCTACCGTAATTAAGAAAAAACTCAGTTCTAACATATTAAACAAACAAATTAAAACGACATTCCTTTTGCAGAAGGCAAATGCGTATACGTGTTTGGCCGTCAGCGGGATCTGTGCCAGGGACATGCGGACTGTCCGCAGGGCAGCTCCTGCATGCTGGTCCCCCAGGAGGGAGTGTGGCGGTGTGAGCCGAGTGTGGAGTCCGGAGGGTCCACGTCGCTGCTGGAGGGCATATTTGGACCGAGGGAGAGGCAACCGCTGGGCAGCGAGTGCAGCAGCAGCAGCGACTGCCAGGTGATCAAGTAAGTCCGAATGGCGCTGGTTAACCAATTTGGGTCTAAATGCTAAATGCTCCACTTTCCAGCGGAATGTGCTGTCAACAGCAGCGTTTTCACCACCGGGCAGCCATCAAGCTGAGCTGTGGCTATTTTCGCGATGCCTTTGACTGCGTGGATATGGTCGGAGCAGAGGTATGATGATTGTCCATTGCAAACACGAACCTGTGTTATCTCATACGTATTCCCATATAGCATCGCCGCAACTGAAGACCGCAGTGCTTGGGTATCAAAGCTCAGGAAACCGAAGAGAAGTAGCCAAACAGAAAATGATTCGGATACCTGATTGAATAGGAATTACTTCGATATTGAAACATATCCAATTATTAAAAGAATACATATCAAGATCAAATTTCTATAGCTTAGAGCATTTGTGTTTCTATAATCTGCATATGAATATTTGCTATTACTCAAACGATCTTAGACATCTAGATGTGTTTTTAGTAGACTCCAAAAATACTGACTGAGGCATTCAATGTTAATAGCAGAAAGAAGATTATTCCAATGCAGTTTTACTTACTTAAGCAACAATTAAATCGTTTCACGTCTAAATGTAAATCGAATACAATAAAAGCATTACCAAATATCTGCATTTTCACTGCAACTTTTTTGCAAAAATACTTTCGTATTGAAATGATAAAGATAAAGGTAAGGCAACGAACTTATATTTTTAGGCCAATTATTTTTGACTAGTGACGAGCGCATCCTCATATCATAAGGCTGTTGATATTAAATGGTGACGAAAACACCAAGTCTGATGACCCAAAATACAGCTACATTTAAAATAAAATTGTATATTGCCGAAACCGACTTAATAAACTATTAATTCAAAATACGCCAGAAAACTGTGAACAAAAAACAGCAGCAAATTCTTTACAAATATTTTCGGTTGGTTTTATTTTTGTAATTTTATTTAAAGTGCCAGTAAAAACGCAGCTTAAAGCTAAAAGTTAGACTCTGTTTACACTTTCAACGCTTTTGTTTTTAACATTACACCCAAGTAAATCATTCCTCCTTTCTTTCTCTAACTCTCTGACATTCCATATATCTCTCATGATCCAATCCATTTACGATTAATACACATTACAAATGCTTTCGCCTCTAACTTTATGGCTGAGACACTTTTCGCTTACTTGAGCCTAACATAAATCGCACAAAGTGCATCGTTTTAGTTCTTGAATTCTTGGAAATTTCGAACCAAAAGTATGTTTTGCCAGCAAAATAGGATTTATTTTTAAAATTAATTTTTATATGTTTTTGCGCATGTTCAAGTCTCTTGTTGATTTTGTGTTCTTCGGTTTAAATTGAATCTTAAACTCAGTTGTTTTTAAGTTGTTTTTGGTTTGGATCAGGGACTAAGGTCGTGGGGTTTAGGAAGTGCCCCCTTTGGAGGTTGTATTGGGGGTTAGTCTTAAGAACAACTTTCGGCTTAAACTTATCTTGGAACAGTCAAACAAATATCAAGTCCGCTATTTTTCGGCACATGTCTCGTTTTTGTTTGACTTGCATGTACAGAATGCACAGATTATTTACAGATTTTACAATTACAGGAATAGTTTCAAAACCTAAATATAAGTACGCGATATAGCGATAAATTTAGTTTAGCTTTGTTTTCCAAAGAAATCGATTGTGTTCGTACAGGATGTGATTAACTTCAGAAAGCTTAAATTAAAATAGGAAAGTAAATTTCGCAGACCGAAAAAATAACAATATGAAGGTACTATTTAATCATAACCCTACTTACAAACTTGCTCGTACAAACTCTTACTCTTAGCTTACATCGAAATGATTTAAATGTTAATTAATGTTTACTTTAATCTCTCAGCTGGCGTGTATTGATGGGCAAAGGAAACATGGATTGTGTTGAAACTACTATTGCATTCTGGTAATGGACTGTGTTTATATGTATACATTAATAATGGACTCATTTAGCTTTATGGCATTTGATGTGAGATTTAATTGATTTATGATGTTAAACATATTGTATTACCCGGAATTAGCACACCCAAGCTCTGTGCCCAGGCTTTTAGGTTTGTTCACGAAACATTTAGTTCCATACAATTTATAATAGAAGCAAATATAGTATACAATTCATATATATGCATATGTATATGTATATAAATATATAGTTTTGTTTACTTATTTATGGCTACAATAAAATAGGAAGAACAAGCTTTGGTTATAAAACAACAAGAAACAGGAGTTATGAAGGGCTAGGTTAATAGGCAACATGAACGTAAATGAAATAACAAAAATAATAAGAATGCGTGACGATGCAACCAATTTTGGTTTTTTGCCAGGGTCGAGAGTTTTGGTGTAGACATTTTAAAATAATTTAAACATAGGATTACAAGAGAAGCGCCCTCAGCAATATGGACACATACTTATGGGAGAAGGGTGGTGTTTATAAAGTTTTAGAGGTACAGCAGCAGCAATAGCGACGTGGGCATGGCAAGCTGTTTGTGAGCAGGCGACGCGCCAATACGTTTGATTCTATTCATTTTATTTTTACGTTACGATTTCCTGAGTTTATCGACTTTATCTGTTGGTTATTGCCTAAAAGAGTTATCTTCCTTGCTGATGATCTGTTGTGGCTGGTTTTGTATAATCATTTGCAGACAAAAAATTGTCTGCGGCTCAAATCTGTTTTCTCACTGCTTTCCACTGCTGCTCAGTCTTGACATAGTCTTACTGTTTTGTATTTATCGTTTTGTTTGCTGGCATATCTCGCTCGCAAACAGGATTTATAAAAAATATATATTGTATATAATGTGTTATTTGGTTGGTTTATAACTAGGTCCTAATTGGTAGCTCTAATGGCAGTGCGGCAGTTTTTTTGGCGCGCCGCCTTGATCACTCTGCCCGGAAATAAGCAAATCTCAGCGAAAATGTCAACGAAGGTTATGTACAATAGTTGAGGATGATGTAACACAAAACTTATAACGAGCTCGTTCTGAACGGAAACAAAGCAAAGAATTGGAAACTTTAAGGATGAGTTAGCACATAATATTTACAACTTCTTTGTATTTAATTTCTTAACGGGTTTCTGGAACTGCTTCGCAAGCGCTGCCAGGACATTTAAGGTAACGCGGGGCCAGGTTACAGGTTACTACTATTTGTCTGCCCCCAATCCCACGGGGCGCGACACGAGGGCTACTCGTCAAACTGAAGCCACAATCAGTTCTTGACCTTGTCCTCCACACTGATGCTGGCAAGTGTCTTTTTGATGCGAAGCGCTGTCAATCGGGCCACAGGATTGGGATACCAGCACTCCTTCATCACCTTGGCCATGTTGTGGAGCACATCGGAGGCATGCCAACGATTTGGAATGTTTGGCCGGCACTTCTCAATGCAGACCACCTTTAGAGAAATTATGAAATGTTAGTTAGCACAAGTCCACATACGTTGTGCTCACGAAAGACTCACTTTCTTCATCTCCTCAATGCTGGGGTCTGGCTGAACGACATCGTAGTACGGCAATTGATACTCATCGTATATCATTCCCATGTTGCAACGACGTGCAATCTCCCAGAGGATCAGTCCGAAGGCATACACATCCGCCCTCTTGTACGAGTCAAAGTGCTGATCATTCATACTCTCGTCCAGCACCTCGGGCGCCATATAGCGCTTGGTACCGACACGATGAGTGGAAGGTATGTCCACAGAGTCGTTTTTCTCCACATGGCGCACGGCCAGCCCCAAATCTCCAATAGCACAGCTAAGGTTTGATTTGACCAGTATGTTTTTGGATTTGAGATCACGATGGGCGATGGCGGGCTTGCCGCGAGTGCCCACAATGTCCATATGGAGATGCGCCAGTCCAGTGGCAATACTCAGCGACATGTTCAGCATGGTGTTGGTGTCCACCGGGTGCGTGGTTAGGTAGTCAAAGAGCGATCCGTTCTCATGGTAGTCGGTTACCAGCCACAGCTGTGTCCAAGTTCCGTTGTCTGAAAGGAGCATGTTTTAAAAGGGTTTTCTTTAGATAAAACTCCTATAAGCTTACCCTTGTTGTCTGCAGCTATAAATCCCAAAATGTTTTCGTGTCGGAGCATTACCGTCTGATAGATTTCCGCCTCACGGAACCACGAGCACTCCTCGCGACTGGAGAAGATCTTGACCGCCACGTTTTCGCCTCGCCAGCGACCGCGCCAGACCTCGCCGAAACGTCCCTTTCCGATAACGTGGCACAACTGCACCTGCCGGGCAATCGAACGCTGCACCAGCAGAGGAAGACCAGCTGAAAAAGAAGCACGAATTAGGCCAAGATGCAGACGGGAACTCCCCATCCCCCCATGGAACTCACCCGAACCCGAACCAGAGGTGGTCATCTCAATGATGTCGTGTATGGTTGTATTACCATTCAATATTGGATCGTACACCGAATCCTCCTTGGCAAACGGCCTTCCGCTGGCCAATCGCTTGCGACGCTGGCAATAATACCACGTACTGGTGCCCGTGAAGCAAATGAAGAGGGTGGCCCCTAGGATTATAGCCACAAACTCCCAGCTGGTCAGTCTATGTGGCACATAATCTGGACAAAACCCACAAAGGCATTTATTATTAAGGGTAGACAAGATGCGGTCCATGTAAATGTGATCGAATTAATGGAAAATAAATACAAATAAAATGCAGAATGTTAGTCAATCAATCGAAAGTGGCATGCATGCAGGAGGCCATTAACAAGTAAATGTGCGTGATAACACTAAGAAATATGGGTGCAAACGAGTTTAAACAAATCCAAGTCCAAAAGCTCATTCCAAACACGATTAGCGGTTAATAATACTTAAATTTAGTAATTTATTTACAAAAACATCACTGACCTGCGTGTGAATATATCGAGTTATTTACAAACCTTTGCATTCAATTCGGCAACGAGCTTACAAACTACTTAATAATGGCGAAAACGTATTAATCAAAACTAACTTTGCGGCTGCTTACAAAAAAGGAAACAAACCAAATCCAAACCCGAGTCCGAAATGTTCCGCAGACGAACTAATCCATACACACATACCAACCTCCAACTGAACAAACACAAAAGTGCAATGGAAATGGGCGAACAACTGCGAAAAACTATATGATTAAATTGACCTCGTAGACGACTGAACACCCTATCTGAAATTAATTTAACACAAAAAAGGAAATCTTAGACAGCATGATTTCACCAGGGGTTTTGAATTTATTATCAGTTCCATCTGGTTCCATAGACTATTAGAAATCGGTCTCAAATATGAAAACAGAAAATGTCACATTTTTCAAGTAAATGTAATCTAATGTTGAATTTAAAGTTTACAATAAAAGTTCAAAAATGTACACGGCTTCATAAAAAACTTGTTAAAGTCTATAGTTTAATTTTCAAACACTAGGTGGACTAATGGAACTTTTGCCAGGGTAACAAGTATGAAAAGCGGCAGGCTGCTGGAAAAAAATGCGGCCATTAATGAATGAAATGAAAGAACGTTGACTGCGACTTGCAGTTGCAACTGCAGCTCTGAAAGCGGCATTGCACATGAATGAAACGGGGCAGACACACGGATACACACAATAACACAGGCACAGACACTTGGGGGTGGGAAGAGGAAGAGTGGACTCAAGGAGGAGGCGAGCAAGGCCACCGTCTGCAAGGGCTTCTTGAAACTCCTCCTGCTCCTGCTCCTCTTCATCCTGGTGGGCGGTTGTGCGCTTGGTGCTGTCACTACTAACGGCCCTTGAGACGGGCTTGTGGTTGCTGGTAAATGCCTTGCTTACTTCCTCCTTAAATGCGTTTTAACAAGTCAATACGATAAAGACGCAAAGGTCAGGTCAGCAGACAAAACCCACAGAACGGTGCGGCACAAACTCAGTCGACAGGTGAAAGGTGGCGGCCTAAACAAAGGGTATGGGTTGAGTGGTGGTCAAGCGGAGGGCCAGCAGACAAGGCAACAATGTGGCCGGTGCGTAAAATTCACGAGAAATGTGGCAAAGGAAGTCAATGTATAAACAAGGACGACAAACCACAAAACAACGAAATGAAAGGAGCAAAATAAAACCGTGTTCCCAATTGGATTCTTAGTTTGACTCTACTTTAAGACTACCTTACTATTTCCAGACACATTTTTAGGCCAGTCTTTACGAAGTCGTCTTGTTAATTTTATCAGAATAAAATTTGTTTAACTAGTTTTAATATTTTAAAAATAAAAATATGCTTGTTGAAAAGCACTCAAGTAAAAGTTACCAAACTAAAAACTCATTGTGACATCAAAATAAAAAGGGCTTTATAATACCTATTCTCCCCTCGAAGGACGTACAAGGACGAAGACGGGGTGGGATATGGGGTGGTTCGCTGGAAGCGTGGGTGTGCGAGGTGTGTGTTAGCCAGGTATGCTTATGCGTGTATGTGTTTCTTGTGTGAATTCAATGTGTTACAAATTTGAGTATACCAAAAAACTACGCAAATGAGGTGGTGCAATGGCATGGGCGTGGCTGCTTCGATGGCTGGTGGTGGTTGAATTGTTTGGCGGTGTTGGCGGTGCATTGCTGGTCTCACCTGGTAGGACACCACTGTAATTCTCACGCGTATTGCAAAAATCTTCGGCGCAGCACTGAGAAGAGCCCGCTTCCGAATTTAACTTGCACGAGGTAGGATCTTCAGGTGGCAACTGGTCTGTTATGCATCTACATACATAATATTTAGTTGGGTTTTGTTTTATCTACTAGGTTGCTTTAGCTTTTTAGTACTACGTCTAAATTAGGTTGGAGATTAGCACTTGTTGTTCTAGTTCTTCTTGTTGTAGTTGTTGCAGTGTGCACTTGCGAAGCAGCTTTGGTTACCACTTACAAGCTAAAATTTAGCAGCAGCCCTTGTTTATTTATTATTGGTGGTAGCTCAGCCAGGAAGGGGTTGGGTGGGTTTTTCAGCTGCAGCAGGTGGATACAATTGTGTTTTGGGTGCAAGGCAGTAAGCGGAGTCGGTCGCGGTCATCAAAATACCAGGGAAAAATGGAGGGGAGCCACTGCCAAATGTGGGAGAGTTCTGGTTTGCTCTTACACCAATTTATCAGAGCAGTTCCGATTTTCACATTCCCACAATTTTGTCATTATTATCATTGCAGTAGAAAATCAAATTGAAAATCGGAACGTAACCATATATTACTAATTATAATATACCAGGGAAAACACCGTAGGGACGTCATGTGCTTTTAATGAGGTTCGGGAGACAGTTCAGAAAATTGGTACGTAAAAAGGAGCTGAAATAATTCTGAGAACCTCGAATATCGGGATATTAAGAACTATAAATCCATGGAAAACTACACATATCCCGCGAAGGAGAGCAGTAACCTCATCGCGAGCGAAAAGCGAAAGGGAAAGCTCAAAGGACGAATCGAATTAACCCCTTGAGTGGAAGCTCTGATCTCTACAAACTACAAAGATATTTTTGCATGCATAAAGATACGTGTAATTTACTAGGATAAGGTGTAGGCTGGATTCCGTATAAGATTTATTGTGTGTGTTTGTGCCACAGGGAAAAGCAGGGAGAATAGAAAATAGTGAAAGGTAAAGAAAAATAGAGGTGGGAATCCGAGAAGCGAAAAAGTGCAAATAGTCAAAGAAAATAATAAGCTAAAGGGAAAACTGGGGAGGTGTGCACACCTGCAGAAAAACAGACTGAACTAAACCAAAAATTATTATTACAGATTATTGAATTGTTATAATTAATCTATTAATCATATTGATGCAGTGCTAATTAGGCGCAGTGAATTAGAGAAGGAGTGCAAACTAAAGATAGAAATTGTATTGTTGTTGGTGGTGTGGTTGTTGTTACTTGAATGCGGCTGTACCTGTTTCAAATATCCTCTTCATAATCTCATTCTTATTGCAGAAATCACTCTTACAGCACTGAATCCTATACGTATCGAACCTTTCGTTACTGGTGAGGCATTCGAAGGGCTTACTCCGCTGCATATTGTACTTGACAACCATGCAACTGGGTCAGCGTACAGCACAGTACACAAATATGTGAACGGGCGGGGATTATGCGACATGTTCGATATATTCAAGTGGAGTCGAAGGGAGCGAAGGAAATATCGGGAGATAGAGAAAAATAACAATTAAACGAAATTAGTATTGCTTGGCATTGGTTGTTGGTTGCTGCTGCTGCTTCTGCTTCAGCTGTAGTTGTTGCTGCCTTCGGCTTGTTGCTAATTGAAGTTGCAGTCTGGTTAGTAGCAAGAATAGTATTATAATTATATTGATTACAATGTGGTATAACGCCGCTCTGGTTTTCAGCAGGCCATCATTAGTAGTGCTCTGCATTTCGGGTTATGATCATTTCAGAACTTCAACTCAACGAGCATAAGTGGGAAAAACAATCCAAAGAACGATCAAAACTGGGCAACTTGTTGTCGAACGGCGTGCGAGTGAACAGAAAAATGGGAGCAGTCAGAGAGGAGGGGTTTGGGAGCGAAACACGTGCATAAGCGCACGCACCTTCGACGGATATCTGCCGGCCTTCCACACGATTACTTGGCTGGTCCTTCATCTTGGGCCACAGAAAACGGTTGCAAAAGTCGCTGTCCTTGCAACAGGCGTGGGCGCCACTTCGACCCACTGGGCGGGCGGTGGGTCCACCGTGCAGCCCGTCGTTGCACCAGATGGAGCGGCCCGGCGGAAAGATTTGAAACTTGTGCAGACATCTGCATGGCAGATCGATCGTGTCAGGCATATTCAGACATCGCTGCTCTGAGGGGCAAGTGCTAACCTAATCAAAGGCCTGCTCCTCAGGCTCTCGGAACTCACCTGTAGCTGAAGATGATGGTGCCATCGGGGTTCTTCTCTACAGACGTGAAACAGAAGCCGTCCGTCTCACATATGTTGTTTGATTCCTTGCAGGTGTCACAGTGGCATTTTATCTTGTCTGCAGAACAAATACGTAAAATTAATATTGGCTTAATTTTGCATAAATCCAAAATTTGAACGAAATTTGCTATTCTCTGAATTTTCCACATTCGAATCCATAAATTCCAATCCAACCCTACTAACCCCATCCCACTCACAAACAAAAAATAATTTCTCTTTTAGCATTATATCTTTACTATTTGTACGTGATCGCGCAACCAATCACGTGTATTAATTAATTTTGAAAATTAATCACTTGTGGAAAAAATTAATTTTAACTAAATGGAAAGCTCCTTTTTGTACCATACATGTTACCCTTCGCCTCATTTTCCACAGTATTTTCCACATGATTGTAGTATTATTTAAACAAATAAACGCAAAAGCATAGCTTAAAGCAAACTTCTCAAATTAAGAAAATGCCCCGACTTCGATTGAAACAAATCAATTAGTTAGGCGCTGGCAGAAATTAACTAATTAGAGAAATAAGAGACCCATAAATCAACCACTTGCTGATTGGCATCTCCTGACCACAAATTCGGATTTGCCATAACCATGCCCCCGGGGCACCTGGCCGGGCACACGCTCGCCCAGACAGTCACATAGACATCCACATCCACATCTACCGCCACCGACACCGCCGAGAGCGTGATGAAACAAAAACAAAACCATTTAGCATTAACAAAGCAGACGCGGAGAAGACAAGTGCAAAGTGGAGGGCCAGACAATGCGACCAGTTTTCCCTTCCCCCAACGGCGAGAAGCCAGTGCTTAGGCCTGTTTTTTTTGCACCGACTGCAGTTGCAAGTGCGCGAGTGCAGCAAGCAAATGCATCCAGACGTGGGGGTGTCTGCTGCCAGGCAGCGTTGGAGTGGGCCATGAGAGCTGTCTGGCTCAGCTCATTGACACCACGGCGAGGTGACGTCACTGTATGGGAACGGAATCGGAGCCTCAGGCGGAGACGAAGACAGCCTTATAGAAGCGTTCAGAGTCTCTGAGGTGTTACAGTCACGCGATATATACACGAAGAGAATATCCCTATGACATCGAAAAGATCGTCAAGTAATTACTAATAAATATCACGAAATTCTGAATTTGTTACTTTAAAAATTTAAATTAATAAAAAAAAAAGACACAGACAAGATGTACGAAACATTTGAGTTAACGCTAATGTATTTCTACATATCTTATTCAATTTATGGATTTGACCTAAAGAAAGGAAAATTAAACAACCTTTACCCTGTTCTTACTTTCCCTGCAACCGATGTCAAGTAAAGTCTTTGAAATTAAATACCGGAACAGGTCTGTAAATCTATCACTTTTTGTTGCTTAGATAATTCGGGGTGCATTGTCCTCAGTGTGCTCTCCATTCGTTAGGCATTTTGAACTTACTTTCTGGCTTTTTCGCGATGGGCTGAGCAATGTAGATGGGCAGCTGGGGAGTAACAGCAGGGGCCACTGCTCCGGATCCGTCACCGTCTTGCGGCAGCAGCATGGACACGGCGCTACCGTTGTTGTTGTCGTGGCTCCTGTTATCAGCGGCCAGCGACGACGATGGCGATTGATAAGCATGTCCAGCTGTTCCAGTTGGAGCCCTCAGCGCCGGCGCTTTGGTCGTCGGTGGCCATTTGCCAGGGTGTGATTCAGTCGCAGGATCAGATCTGGAGCCATTTATGCTGGTGTCCATTACGAATTCAATGGGCGAGGCTGCACAGGGGGAGATTTTAGGTTAGTTTCGCACCTTATCCAGATTAATAGAACCACTGGGGGGAACTCACCGCAAACGGAGGCGCCGAGCAGAGCGCCCAGGAAGATTAGCCGGGGTGCAGATAACATGTTGGCTATTCGCACCGATGATAGTGTGTGCGACCCGAGCTATTGTTATTGTTTGTGCTGCCCGAGAGCTTTTCTTTTGTTTTCCACGATCGCAACCACGCACACGCGCGTCGCAAGTTCAAAGTCTGTTGTCTGCAAATGAGGTTGTTGTTTTGCGGAAGGAAGAGGCGGCAAAAGGACACCTCAGACAGCCACTAATTGGCCCCGAACTGCGCATTTATCGCGTAGGACAGGCGGCCGCGAAGGCTCACATTTGTCGGCGGCATGGCCGGGAATATAGACTGGCGATTCAAACAATTAGCGAATCTTGATGGGGGCCCGCACTGCGAAACTCGAACTCCACACTCCGCCCAAGTTGGTTGGAAAAACTGCTCTGCTTTACATTTCACGGACGAGGGAAACTTCTCAGGCGGATTTTCATCACGTGATTGGGGCAGTTGCGAGAAGGAATTGACACTATTTCATATTCCGCGGGACAGCCAGCAATTTCGGGTGTCTGGTGCAACCGTTTGTTTGTATTAATTGCTGCTATTTTTTGTTAAATGTACAATTTTGTGCAGCGAAAAACCGCGCTGGTATGTGTGGATTTGCAAACAGTGTGACCGCACCTGCGGCAGTGTGCCCAAGCTGGAGTGCCAAAAAAAAACACCCACCCGCTGCAGAACTGAATAAAAATACCCAATCGGTTACGTTCTTATGGACTGTGATTTTTGTTGAAATATTGATGGTTTCCAGATTACATGGCACAATTTTGTTTCTTTTGTAACAGATATTTATTTCCAAGAACTGCAGGTACTGCGCAAGTGCCCAAAAATCCAATCAGAACCAAAATGCGGGGCACCCGACGCAAAAATGATCATGTTTTGTCCAGTCGATAATTTTTATTGCCATAACAGACTGAAAATATTCAAAGGCGGCATGCCAGGCTCAGCTCCCTTCATGAAACCTGCAAAAATATAAATTGGTTAAAATCAATGTCGGTCAACTTGATATTTTCCCGCTGCTTCTTCTTTCCAGCCGCGTGTAGATGACAAAAAACATGAACCATAACTTACCCAAATACAGCACAAGCGGCACGAATCCCCAGTGGAATCCAGTCTGAACCGCCCCGACCACAACTCCCAAACGCTCCTTAACTCCCTCGGAAAGCTCCATTTCGTACGGATATTAAATTTTAGCTCGTTTTACGAATTATGAAATGAAAACTTCTCCGACTGAAAAGGAAGTGTTGGAAAACAGCGCTTTTTTTGGGGGAAAACAGCTGACAGAAACTTATTGTAAGGAAACTAATTCTCGTTCTCTTATTTAGGGATAGCCTTGTCGCAGGTTGCTGGGCCCCAAATAATTGGACAATTCAAAGAATCAGTAAAATTATTTTGAATACACATTTCTGTACATGTGGCAACATCGGCAATTAAGCGCTCAATTCAAATGCCATACAGTCTTGCGCTTTGGTTTGAAATTTGGTTTTATTTAATTTATAATTGTCATTATTAGTCGGTTCCACCAGTAATGTGTACTTTATGACACCCATAAATTTTAATATGTCTGCTTTAATATGAATGGTGGTGTTTACACTGAAGATGCATTTCTGCGTTTGCACACTCTTGTTCCAAAGGAGATTACTTCTCAATTCACCCAGGTTTCACATTCACAAGCCTTTTAATTCAGAAAGCGTTGAAAATGTTAAATTGGAAATTTTTACATAATCATACATACATATCGTATTAACGTTCAAAGTTGCCGTTGATTTTTTAACAAAATGAAGGATGTAAAATAAAGAATACCCTTGCTAACTATCGCATCACGCAAGTGCTCCCTTGATCGATACCATCGCAGATATTCGAAGTGCCAGCTCTAGTCTCGCATCCCTTTCGCTCTCGCCCGCTGCTCACATGCGTTCTAGATCGTTTAATTTTCTTGGTTTTCATTTGCTCGCCAAATTTTAGCAACGTTGCTGGTTTAATCGGCTGCACCTGCAATCGCAAGTAATCAGAGAGCGCCAAGCACCGAGTTCTCATTGCCAAACGAAACGTAAGTGATAACGAACGCCTGGTGTGCCGTTGCTCGCCAGCAATGAGCAAACGCAGAGGAACAAAGTCGGGGAAAAATCAATTCAAGTTATGTAAGCTCGAATAACCGGATACCGTGTCGCTGTTTCAGGTCCCGATTCGCTCGATTTGGAACTGGAGCGGACCATGAAAACAAGCAATCTCGGCCTGTACGCTTTCCGTTTAACCTTCGGTCAGGTGAGCTCTCGCACATTAAACCAGGCAGGCAAGCTGCAGAAACAGCGTGCGCATTCCGGGGGCAACCCCTGAGTTTTTCAGCCGTGGCAACCGCGGCCCACAATCGTCATTTGCAATGGAGCGACTGCAGCCGGGAGACGAATGTCTGGAGTGCCAAAGTGAAGGCAGGAATCACACGCTGCGCTACTTTTACATTAATCTCGAGGAGCAGCTCTTGAAATGCGAGTCCAGAAGCTGTCTGTGGCCACACAACGATGAGGTTTCCTCTGATGAGGATCTGAACTTAGAGGCAGCACTTCCCATCAGTGCTCTACATTCAAAACCTTCAGAATCTCCTGCTCCTACGCTCCCTTCTCAACCGTTTGCATTGTCGTCTAAACCTCCTCCAGATGATGACGACACATTTATACTGGAATTGTTGCAGCAATTGACTCCTGCCACAGAAACTGACTCGGTTGAACCCCCTCTTAAGGCAAATGTGAGTTTCACCTCCATGCCAGATCTGCACTCACCTTCAGAAGAAAAACCATGCTCAGAACTGGAGCTTCCAGACTTAAGCTTTCTGGAAGAAAACATTACCGTAAACGAGGAGCCCCTGCAAGCTTTAAAATCCGAGCTTGAATTACCTTCCAATCGCTTATCCGGCAAATTAAGGAGTCCGCCCAAGACAAAAACCTCGCAAACTCAAGACACTGGAGCTAAGCAGCATGTGACTCCACCCAAGGTTCCTACGGCCCCAAGCTGGGAAAACAAACCTGAAATACCTTTACTACCCGCTTGTGTGAAGGGTACTGTAGGGACGCCTCCTAGCATCAAACCTAAGGGGTCTCCCTTCAGCAGTCCACCCAAGAAAGCATCCACCGAGCCGCAGTTACTAACACCGCCTGCTGTCAATATTGTTATCAGTGTACCGGAGTTGAGACCGGGTATGAGCGGCATGTTCCTAGACGCCATTAAACGCCATTCCACAGAAGCGAAACACTCACGCGGAGGGAGACGCCCCAGGCGCCTGACCAGAGAAACCATCAGCAGAGGCATTCGCACACAGGATGTAATGCACGTGATCAAGCATTTAGAAACCACCACAGAAACGAAATGTCCATCATAATCAGCTGGCATTTACCTTACTCAAGTATTTGAAATAAATTTGCATATGAAATTATGCATGAAACCTCCGGATAAGAATTCAAGTTCATTTATTTATAAACAAGTCCGTTCCGCTATATTTTTGTTTGCCAACGCAAATTGCGAATTATTAATTCGCGGCACGCGTCCAAAGCATGTTCAAGTGGACTGGAGAGATAGCGCTGCTGAATACAGACCGTGCTATCAAAAGAATTGAACTTTGGAAAGGAGGTCGTGGCATGCGGAGATCTGTTTCAAGCCGGGATTAGATGTAGGGGTGACTGATAATGCAGTTGAACGTCATCTGAGCCCTACCGCATTGATAGTGATGTCAGTCACGATAATCTGGCATTACATCGACCCCTCGTAATCAGTTCAATAAACGAGCAACCATGTGGGGTAATCGCATTCGTGTGGTCGGGGCACTTGAACCTGGTTGCCAACGGCCGGCGCAAAATGTTTCTGCTGCGTAGTTGCCTGTGTGGGCGTAGGCGGTCGGGCAGTGGGCCAAGTTAATTGTTTGTTTGGGCTGCTATATATTAATAGCACACAACTAAATCCGTTTCCCTATCTTATCTCCCGCAGGCGCCGCCGCTGTCCGCACAGGCCACTACGCACTGCAGCCATGGCTTCACCACCAGCTCGTCGTCGCCTAACCGTGTGGTGACCCGCTCAGCCACCATGCTGGCGCTTTTCGGCATTGCGCTGTCCTCGTTCAGCCTTAAGCAACTGCTGGCCAAGAAGCAGAAGCACCAGGGCCTGCGCAAGCTCTAGGATGGAGCTATAGTCAAAAAGGTCACAGCGGAGATCATAGCGATGCCAACGCCAACGGCAGAAGCGGCGATGAGGAGCCAGAGCGCCATGTCCTGAGGTCACATATTCGATTATTTCATTATCCGCCATCATCGTGTATATTTTCCTAAGTTAAGTCACCACCTCACCATAGAACCAATCGGAACTCGGACATGGAGGATTGTTTTGTAATATTCTCGATAAATTTAGCGGATGAGAGGATATGTGCGTATAGTTAGATATATTTTCTTGTTTACACATGCACACCATGCATCGCCAACTGAAAGGAATAAATTTGTGATAAATCGTGTATGAGAAAAACCCATCAGCAGACAAACTGAACGAAGAAACGATAGAGAAGATTCGCTAAGCTTTCGGAAATCCCAAATTTTCCTATACTCTTTTGTTGCTCGTTTTAGTTATATATATTTTATGTGTAAACAAGTCTTATATACGTATATTTATTTAATTATTTGCAAACCAGAGAAACGGCTAAGTAGGGAGGGATAAAAACTATAATGACTTCGTTGGACAGCATATCGCCGAGCAGGCTGTGCCAGTGTCCAAGAAACAAACTAGTTCTAGTTCCGTATTCAAATAAATGCATTAAAATATTCAATTCCAAAATATGGATTTTTATTTTTGTTTTTCAGTACGATCTTACACTTTTGCAAAAGTCATCAGTCGACATAGGGAATTGGCTGAAACATATACGGGTAGATCCTAAAACGCGCCGCGATCTTAAAGCGCTACAAGTGATTGGCAGGGGTATCTTTTTCTAGGGGCAGCTATCGTTTTCGCTTTCAGGAGCGAGTAGGAAAGAGTAGCGAATGTATCTCTAACTCGGAGAGGGCATCTTCATAGTCTATGTATCTCCAAGGGAGAGATGCGCTGCCCAATGCCTCCCCAATTTGGTTAATGGACAATGCCTGCTGCGCAAACTGCTAACAAACCATGAACACTTTCTGCTACTACTTTCTGCAGAACACAATTGGATAAGATTGGCTATGCCAAATAAAATTGCTGAAAATTATTTCTTCGTTTTGAAGTTAGCGACTTAATGATTATTTGCGTAAAAAGGAAGTTTTTTTTTAAGATTCAACTGAAGAACGACAACTTTCAGCTGTTAAAGAAGAGGTACTCGATAGTCGATAAAAAATTGAAATTAAAGAAGACTCAACATGGTACCCCTTAAAATTGAATCTTCTTAATAACGTTTTAAGTAATACAAATGGGAGATTCGCTTCAATAATTACGGTTATAGAATCAACCAGGAATAGCTTTAAAGGGAATTCAAATCTTTAATATCACTTTTAAGAAATATATGTTTGTCAACATCCAAAGAGATTTAGTTTTACCTGGAAACTTCTTGCGGACCGCCTTTGAATATTGCGCCAAATGTGGCAAAATTATTGCGAGGCGGCACCACCACAGCTGCCAGATTTCGGCAGCTCCCCGCGAGGGTCACACTGGCAGGGCACACTCCTCACCCCCCGCCCAATGATCAAGTGACGTGCCACCAATATAACCATTGGCCGGCCAACAGCACTCTTTCGGACTGCGGAATGGGCATCAACGTCAGCAGGACGGCCGACCTGGGGTCCAACCAGTGGCTCCAGCGCTTCGTGGGCCGCCAGCACATCGCCCACGATGACGAGGCCTTCTGGAACGGGCTGCTCAACTATAACATTGTGCTGCCGGAGAACAGGTGAGCGAGTGAAGGAGTGGAGCGACAACGTCAGCAGGGCTAATCTTGGGGTGGGATTGGTGTGTTTTTCAGTCAGGACCAGCTCAACCTGGACAGCCGGCTGGAGGCGCTGTGCCAGTCGTTCATCGGCAACAACCTGAAGACGGGCAACTTCGGCTCCCTGGTTACCGTGTTCCTGGAGAAGACTAGCGAGCTCCTATCGCTGTCGGACCAGGAGAGTAACATGCACGTCTGGCAGACCTTCAACGCGCTCTTTATCATCCGCAGCCTGGTCAAGTACATCAACGAGACGGGCTCTGAGTTCCAGCTCCTTCAGCACTTTGAGGCTATGCCGAACGCAGAGCTGCTGCAGGCGGCCTTGGAGCAGCAGCAACAGACGCCGGCGGAAAGCGCCACCATTGCCATGGAGGCCACCGAACAGTCGGCGGCGGTTGCTGTCCCGGTGATTGTGGACGGATCTAAGTTTGAGACCTTCATCGATGCCCTGGTGAACCTAATCGTCGTGATTCCCGTCAAGGAGTTCACCTACCACCTGCACCTAGAGGCCGTTAACATGCTGATCACCCTGCTGTCAGTGCATTTGTTTTCACAGCAGCCCACGGACAAATCGATCGTGTTCCGAACGGTCTTTAAGTGTCAGCACGCCAACGTGCTGATGTCGGCACTACTGCACTTTGTGGCGCGAATGGTGGAGGTGCCGCACACGATGTTTGGGTCCAGCTCTGCCGGATCATTCGTCTTTGGCATCGCGGAGTCCCTGCTTTCCATCTTCACGTTCCGTAAGCAGCCAGACGTACTAAAAGCTGGCCAAGCAGCCGGTGGCGGAGAGCTCTCCCAGCGATTTCGTACTCACTACCCACTGGCCAACCAGAGCCTGCTGCTCATCCTGATACTGACTAACCACTGTACGGCGCAGGATAACGCTTATCGGACTAGCCTATTTAGTTGCGCCGACTCAAAGGATTCACCAAAACAGGGAGCTGTCTCCTTCCAAATCGACTTCTCGGCGGTATATGAGACTCTGTGTCTTATCGTTACCATTGACCAGGCCACGCTGCTGCTCTATCTGCTGCTCCATCGCAACGAGCGCTTCTATCGGTTCGTCATGCAGCAACAGGACTTGGAGCAGTTGGTGATTCCCATCCTCCAGACACTGTACAACGCCCCTGATAGCAACTCACACCACATCTATATGTCCTTGATCGTGCTGCTGATCCTGAGTGAGGACGAGGGCTTCAACAAGAATGTGCACACCATAGTAGGTCAACAGTGCGCGCTTAATAGTTGCATTATTAATCCCGTTTTATCCCATTAGATGCTGAAAAACATCACATGGTATACGGAACGCACCATATCTGAGATATCGCTGGGCGGCATCCTCATCCTGATAGTCATCCGCACCATACAATACAACATGCTGAAGATGCGCGACAAATACTTGCACACCAATTGCCTGGCGGCGCTGGCTAACATGTCCGGCCACTTCCGCGCTCTGCACCCTTACGTGGCACAGCGACTGGTCTCGCTGTTCGAAACGCTCGCTCGGAAGCACACGCGCCTGGATGCGCAGCTCAAGGAGCCGGCCGACAGCGCAGTGTTTGTAAACGTCTCGACGACCCCGGAAGACATGCTCCAAGATCTGAGCGTGCTGGAGGAGGTGTTGCGCATGGTGCTGGAAATCCTTAACTCCTGCCTCACGAACCAGTTGGTTTATTGTCCCAACTTGGTGTACACTCTTTTGTACAAGCGCAGCGTCTTTGAGGGCTTCCGCAGTCACCACGCCTTCCAGGATGTCATACAGAACATAGATATGGTAGGCTCACTAGTTACAATCACATTATTTGATGATCCTCATGCTTTCTTCGTTTTAAGGTTGTCGGTTTCTTTTCCTCGCGTCTGCAGCGTGTCCAGGAGCAGCGAGGCGAGCTTGGGGTCAACGAAGTGCTCGAGGTTATATCTAAAGGTGCCAGTCAGTGGTCCAGCGATCGCCTTAGAGTAAGTAATCACCTCGATGAAGTGTTCGGTTTACTTATTCTGTTCGTCTCTCTGCAGAAGTTTCCGGATCTTAAGTTTAAGTACGTCGAGGAGGACGCTCCCGAGGAGTTCTTCATTCCATATGTGTGGACGTTGGTCTGCAAGTACGGCTGCGTGCACTTCAGCTCGGAGAGTATCAAGAGCGTCACCACGGACATTGCCTGCTAATATTTACTACTCTATCCCTTCCTCTCACGCTCACACCCGGCTCCGCTTTGGTTTTCACCATGTTTCAATGCTTCTCCGTTTGTCTTCTGTGCGGGATTACCCGATCTTTAAGCCATATACCACGCCCTACCTTTTGATCCAAGCCAAAATGTCGAAATGTAATATCAAAAACAAAGCAAGCGAATTATTGCGCTAAATAAGAGGCATACGCATCTCGAACGTTGACGATAAGAGCAGACAAAGCAAACGAGAGAACTAACAATAATACTTAGATCTAGCTACGCTAATACTAATGTGTATGTTAACAAGCAATCCAGTCGGAAATTGTTCAAGTTAAAATATAGCAACCTTGAAGCATGATCATATTTTGCTAAGCCGACAACAAAGATCGTATTTAGAGGGAAGTTAAGCGCCGAACGCCTAAAGATCGATGTTCTAATCAATGGGCAGCAGCAAATCCAATAAAAAGTATATATACATATTAAAGAATCGGAATATATATGCAAAAATATATTTACATTTTAGTCTATGATAATTATATATTGTATTTAGCAATTGAAAAAGTCGATAAATTATATATTAACTAAAGTTCAGGCTCTTGTGTTTCCTTCTGTCTCTGCCAACCTGGCTTCTAATTAGACACGATATGTTATTGTGTTATCTGCGGAAGGCCCAAGTTTATATTGGTTGGGTTTTATCAAAACAAATGTGATTAGATCTGCTTTGCAATTAGTCATCGGAACGTGGCAGTGCTTTATTACAAAAGTAGTTGGTCTTCTGGGATGGATTTTTCTCTGCGTACTGCGCACGTAAATAATTTATTAAATTAACAAGCTTCTGCCTCCAAATTTGCTGGTTTCTTGCGGAGAATGCAATTATAAGATGGCTTAAAAATAATTCTTGAGTTCAGTTAGGGAGTGTTTTGGAAGAAATCGCGCCAAACGGAAGCTTCAAATGAATTTTCCTTTATTACGTATACGCATGGTAAATAATACTTAAGTACCCTGTCTCTAGTCTATCAATTAACATTGCGCATAGGGGCTTCGCCGTTTGCACTTCATTGTGCATATTTGCACTATCACCTGCAACAACAACGATGATGAGCTGCTTTGTTTATTGTTTATTACTACTACTATGTTTTTTTCCCACCATCAGCTTCACCGGCTAAAAAGCCGCGGGAAAAACGATGAACCGACTTTTACTGCCTGCTTGCATCGGGGTTCGTTGACTTGGACGGCTGGGAGGTAAAAGGGGCGGGACTTGGAGGATGGGGGCTCAATCCGCTGAAGGTTTTGTTGTGGTCGCCCGGCTCTCGTCACTGCTGCACTTTTGTCAGCTCTGCGTACGTGTCGTAAATAACTAAATATGTACATAGTACATACACGCACAGCTAAGCATTGCGATAAAAATTGCATTTGTTTTATCGCCGCCGAAAGGCGGAAAATTTGTTATTGTGAGCTTTTCATGGCGTGCTGCATTTTAATTCATTTTAGCCCACAACAAACGGCGAAAATTTTTCAAATTTCTTTACCTCCCATTGTGGCATTAAGTTCTCCATGCTGGCTGCCTCTTTGTGCAAC